TATATATATATATATATATTGCATGAAAACTTATGGTTATGGGTTGTACACTAAAAAATAGCTAAAATATGAGTGTTAGGCTCAAGCATGTTAGCTCTTTGAACATATACATTTTTAAACACTTATACTTACGCAAATATTGGAATATAATAAATTTCAAGGTTTCTAGGGATGCTGCCCCTAAACCTCACCAAAGGAGCGGTGCCCCTTTGGAAACCTTGGACCTAGGGGCGCTACTACCGGACCCCCGACATGTTGTCGAAACGGCTTCTACTTTAATCTTATACATGCGTGCACTCTGCACATACCCAAACATATATTAGAGTACAAATTATGAAGCTCATTAGCTCACATGTAAGTTCCAATTAAACAAAAGACCTAGTAACACTAAAATCACCAACATAAAATAGAGATAGTCCATGTGTACCAGTGTTGTCGGAATGCAACACCGACGTGGAAGGAAGGCAAGGTAAAGATGTTGGTGGTCGATGCAAAAAAGGGAGGTGAGACCTATGCACCTAGTGGACTAATGGAGTGGCATCTATTTGGTTCAAATTAAAGACATTTTTGTAGTTTTACATTATTATTTTTTTTGGAACCTCACTTTGATAATTTATCAGCAAATATAGTATAAACATAGAAAGTGGAGGAAGAAAACAAGATTCAATGTAACTAGAGTACTTGCTTTTTTTTTTTTTTTTGAATAAAAATAATAACTATGATATCAATATTATTTTTTGATGCCGCATAACCATACATTTGTATAAAAACAAAAATATTTAAATTATTTTTGACACTAAACCTATAATGTAGTGACAATACTTTAGTCACTCGGTCATATCTAATACATTGACTACCAATGTTAGTCCCCAATTTTTGCATAATTTTTAGCACACGTTAAAATATCATTTTAATTTCTTTACACCGTACCATAGTATTAAACATATAATTAAAGCACAAAATCCTTATGAAAAGTACCTAACTCTGGTTGTTCATCAGGTTTGTTTAACTGAGGTTTGCTTAACTGATGTTAGTTTAATGTTAGTTTATTGCTTCTACTACCCCACCGCCTCAGATCCTTTCCATTAATCTTCTTCTTCTTTCATTATGCTGTTCTCTCTATGCACCCAAAAAAAGCCCCCACTTCTTCACTACTTACCGTCTGCACAAGGAGACCACGAAAGCTGTAGTGGTTTCCTCACCAACATACTCGCCGGTCACCAGTCAACCTGTTGATTTCATGTCGCCTCCACTCAAGTTATAGGTATGAAAGGGGTAGCTATTTCAGTTCACTTTCTTTATTATTGTTACAATTACTTTTTCACGACAATAAGTTCACTGAAGGCATCTCCAACCCACCTCCAAACTTCATTTCTTCCCCCATTTCTTCTCCAACCCTACTCCATTTTCACCTCCATTTTTAGAGATATTAATAGTATTCCCCCATATATGGGAGAGTACTATTCATATCTCCAAAAATGGAGGTGAAATTTGGTTGCCAATTTTAGTCTCTCATTTTTATTTTTTACATTTTTAGTTTATTTTAGCTATTAATTATAATTTAAATGCAATATTTAATATTTATAATATCATTTTATATACTAATTTATATTAATTAATCATAAATATAAAGTTTAATTAGTAGAGGGGTGTATTTGACAATATATATCAGTTATAAAAATGAAATATTCTAGAAATATACTTTTCGGGGTAAAAAATGGGGTAGAAAATGGAGTATGATTGGATATAAAACACTATTTACTCTATTTTTTACTTTATTTATGGAAGAAAAAATGGAGATGGATTGGAGATGGTCTGATTGGTCTTCTCCTTCCAAGATTTAGGGTGAAAATACCACCTCAAAATCTATGCACCTTGATTTTATATATATATATATATATATAATATATATATATATATATATATATATATATATATATATATATATATATATATATATATATATATAGCGTTTTGCTTCCAGCTCCTCTCTAATCTGTTAAACTGTACCCACATTTTAAATTCTAAATTTATGATTTCTGTGGTGAGATAGAGCAAAGGAGGAGGACGATTCTGATTACATGCCCCTTTGGCTTCGAAATTGAGTCGGGTTTTTTAGACATAAAACACCATCTTTTTTGCCCATGTTCTATCATTTGACTCGATTTTTTTTACACAAAGCACCATCTTTTTTTTCCTGTGTTCTATAAATTTCTTTTGATACTGAATTTGGAGACAACTGTTGAGGTAGCTAGGGAGATTTTAAAAAAACTTTCTTGATGCATTCCAACTGCTCGATAAAATGCTCAAACCAGGTTTCTGAATTTTTTTTTGTCCAAGTTCAGTTTTTTTTAAAGTAGGCAAAAAGGGACTTTTAGAAATTTTAGGCAAGAAGGTAAGGATAGGGATTTACAACTTACAACTAAAGGTGGTGAAAATATACAGACATCTGTTTAAAAGATTTCCTATCCTAAAATTTTGATGACAGAAAACTTAATCATTTTTCAATTTCTAATCTATATTACATTATATCATGGTAAGTAAGTTGTATAATATCTGCCTAAAATTTTTGAGGACCGATGAAGTCGGAATTTTCCACCAACTACAATTGTTGTCTCTTGGTACATGAAATGATTTCTCAACAAGTTTTATTAAGAACTAATTCGTGTGTTCTATATAATTTGTGTAAAAGACTATTATTCATTCCATCCGAGTTATGAAATTGATATTCAATTCAGGGAGATATCATCTTATTGGCTTGATGGGTGTGAGATACATAAACTTGATGATAGTATATGTATAATTTAACTTCAGAAACTGATTTTTTTTTTTTTTTTTGTTTTTTTTTTTGTTTTTTTTTCTGCTCTATGGATTTGTAGTATAATTAAATAAAATACCATTTTTAATTACCAATAAATGGAATTGAACTCATTACATATGGATGGAAATGGTTCCTTCATCAAAATGTTGAATTGTTTGATGAAACTTTATGCATTCCTATAAGTGTTGGAATTACCAGTGGAATAGACTTTCAACTTCTGACCTTTGGAGGATTCAAGGTGCAAAGATTATATTTAAGGGTAATATGATTATTTTACATGTATTTAATAATGCTTTGCTAATGGTGGTAATGAGAAGGACCAAAAATATTGAAAAAAATTGAAAACATGACCAAATTTTCAAAAAGATTTTTTGTGGACTTAATCCAAAAATACATGACATGGGCATAAATTGTAAATTTGTAATTTAGATTTTATTTATTTATTTATTTTAATTTGTTTCTTATTAAGTCATTGTAGTCTGAAAGTATATTGTTACATTTAAACACGGACCAAATGTGGGTTCTACTTCTATTGTTATTTCTTATTCGCATAATTGAGATTTTTCAAAGATGCGAGGGAGTTACCATTTGTTATAGTTTGTTTCTAGAAACTCACTTTTTACTTTGTTTTTACTTTTCTTTTTACTAATACTAATTTGTTTTTAACTTATGCAGCCTTTGTAGAGGGATGTTGTGGTGATTGGAAAGGGATTTTGAAAAAGGGAGAAAAAAAATTGTATTATTGTAAGGGTTGAAGAGGAAATGCGCAAAAGGTGGAAAACCTCAAGATAAATTTTTAGATTTTTAATTGCTTTATGTATTTTGTTGTCCCTAACATGGTAATAAGTTATGATCCTTAATTTGAAGTTTTTTCTTACATTTATGGTCATTGTTTGAAGGCACTATTGTTATTCGTTTCTAATTGCTGTTATTTTTATTTATTTATCTATTGTAGGATCATACTTTCAACTTTTCTTATTCTTATTAGAGTATTGTATTTCAAAGTATGTATCCAATTATAGCAATAAAAAATCTAAAAAAAGAAAATGCTTTCGATCCATGCGAAGCATGGGTCCCTACACTAGTTGGTTATTAAATTACTAGCATTACCAAATTTACTGATGAGTTTATATATTATCTACGATGCTGCTAATGACCATATTCTAAATGGTCACTAAGACATGTGTCACTAAAAAGGTATTTTCCTCTTGTGTAAGTGTAAGTTTCACATTTGCGTGATGATTGATGCTGATGTGTGTATGCATGCACAAGAAGGAAGCGGCCGATATGAAACATACTGATTTCCGTATGGATAGGATATTCACATCTTGATTTCCGTATAAAAGTAAAGCAAAAGCTTTCATGAATTTTAAAGAGAAATAGTAGACAACATCCTTTGATAACGTGTGTTGTGTGCATGACAAGAACAATGTTTTACCAGCCATGATGCCATAACCATTTATCAACCAGACAACCAACTATTTGGAGTCATAATAATCGATTCATTGGATGTCAATTTCCTGGTAAGTCGTCAAAGTTTTATGGTGAAAGTTTTTGATGGATTTTTGTTTTCATTTTGAACTAATGTCCATTAAAATATTGTGAACATATGTAAACGTGATGTATATACTTTCATCATGCTAGGAATAAACAAGAGTATAATTAATTTATATATGTGTAATCACATACAAAACTGTCACATGCTTAATTATTTATATATGTGTATTGACCACTTGCCTATGCTTATATATATATATATATATATATATATATATATATATATATATATATATATATATATATATATATATATATATATATATATATATATATATATATATATATATGAATTAACCACTTGCTTAATTATTTATATATGATTAATTACATACAAAACTGTGCTATATATTATTTATTTCTTAATAACATAACTTTTTGCTTTACATACAAAATTGGACTTTTATTTTATTCTCAACCATGTTAGAAACAATAATCAAATAATTAACTTTTGACCAAATTAGCTTGTCATACCCGAAAATAAATAAATAAATGCAAAAAAATTGATATTTTATGCAAAAAGGACATGTTTTTCCCAAATTAGCTTGTCATTATAGTATTTATAAACAGATAAAAGTATCTTATATAAAGACCAAGTTAACTAAGGTTGAGTACTCAAATAATACGCTTGTAATCAAATGGCCCTTCATCTCTATCAAATAGTTTTTCCCCAGACCTTCTTTTCAGTATACAAAGTAAAGCAAAAGCTCCCACAAATTAATGTAAAGAGAAATAGCATAGATTATGCTTCGATAAAGTGTGATGAAAAAAAGAATGGTTCAGAGAATAGTCCCTTGCCCATTTACCAACCAACTATATGGAGTCATAACTTTATCCAGGCGCTAGATGTCAATTTTCCGGTAATATTTCGTTTTAATTTTATAGTGAAACTATTTGCAATGCTTTTTTATTTTCATTTTAAGCTTTTAACAATGAAAAGAGTGGGAAATATATGCAAACCTGATGTTTAACAATTTCATAAACTTTTGATGAATGCACACAGATTTACTCAAAGGAGGAACTGAAGGAGCTAGAGAAGAAAGGAATGGAATTGAATTTTGATTACGAGAATGGTGGTTTAAGTATCTTGCAATTGCTTGAACAAATAGATGATATCGAAAGATTGGGCCTTGACTATCGCTTTCAAAATGATATAAGGAGAGCACTTAATTTTATTGCATCAATAAAAGAAAATAACACTGAACATGAAGAAAAAGAAGGTAGTCTTCATGAGGCATCTCTTCGATTCAGGCTTCTTAGGAAACATGGTTATAACGTATCGCAAGGTACTTCTAGGTTTTTTTTTTTTTTTTTTTTCCTTTAGAAGACATCCTAATTATCACGATAAATCCTATGTTCTTTATTAATATAAACAATTAATATATGACTCATTCTCTATATATTTCAATTTCTCATGATTAACATTCGATTGCACTTCATCACAGATTTTCTTTTAAGATTCAAGGACAGTCATGGTGGCTTCATGCGGTGTCTAGAGACGGATGTCAGGGGATTGTTAAGCCTATATGAAGCTTCATATCTTTCTTTTCAGTGCGAAAAAGATTTGCATGAGGCCAAGTTATTTGCAAAGGGAACATTTGCTGAAGCTTAAGTGTCAAGAAAATGAAGCCCTTGAAGACATAAATCATGCATTGGAACTCCCCTCTTATCGTAGGATGCTTAGATTACAAGCAAGGTGGTACATTGATGCATACAGTAAACGAAAAGATGCAAACATGCTTTTGTTAGAGCTTGCAACATCGGATTACAACATGGTTCAATCGGAATTCAAGAAAGAACTTCAAGAAGTATCAAAGTATATATACATGACTCGCCTTTTATCAGTTTTCCACAAACAAATTAATTGATAATATATTAATCCGTATTGACCTTTCGCTCTATATATCAAACAGGTGGTGGAAAAATATAGGCCTAGCAAGCAAGTTAAGCTTCGTTAGGGATCGACTCATGGAATGTTTCTTTTGGTCAGTTGGAGTGATATTCGAGCCTCAGTATAATTCTTGCCGAGTAGAGCTCACAAAAGTTTGTACGTTAATTACTGTCATTGATGACATCTACGATGTTTATGGTTCTCTTGATGACCTCGTGATGTTCACAAATGTTGTCAAGAGGTATACAATTTTGAAGCGCGAATTTCATTACTCTTGTCTTGTTTAATATCCACATCTATGTAGCTAACTTGTATTTATCATGGGGAAATGTTGATCATGTTATTTTAGGTGGGACATTAATGCAGTGAAACATATGCCAGAGTATTTACAACTATGCTTTCGCACTCTTTACAACACCATTATTGAAATAGGTTCTAAGACCTCGATTGCACAAGGTGAAGACGTCATACCACTCCTAGTGAAAGTGGTTAGTATCACCATTACGATTTCCAACTTTAATTCCTTTACTAACTACTTAGAGATTGACATTTTTTTATTGTCGGATTGACAGTGGGGAGATTTACTTGAAGCATTTTTGTTGGAAGCAAAGTGGACTCATAACAAATACATTCCAACACTTCAAGAATATATGGATAATGCATGGCGATCAGTCTCGGGAGTGGTTATACTTACCCATGGTTACTTCTTAATTAATCAAGAATTCAAGAAAGATGTAGTTGAGAACTTGGATAAATATAACGATCTTTTGAAGTGGTCATCAATTGTTTTTAGACTTTGCAATGATTTGGGTACTTCATCGGTATGTTTTATTGTTCAACGTATTCATAAAACCTTTTAACTTACTCTTTTCTTTCTAACATTTGTATTTCTTTTGGCATATATAGGATGAGGTAGCTAGAGGGAAAACGGCAAATGCAATATCATGTTACATGCTCGAGAATAGTGTTTGTGAGGAAGTTGCACGTGAATATATAAAAACTTTAATCGACAAAGCATGGGGGGAAATGATCAAAGCCCGAGTTGCTTCTTCTCAAGAGTCAACAGATCCATTCATTGATATGGCTATTAATCTCGCCCGAATTTCACATTGTGTATACCAATACGGAGATGGACATGGAGCTCCCGATGCTCGAGCCAAAGAGCGAGTCTTATCTGTGATTGTTGACCCCATTCCAATTAAGGATAATTAGGAGTTTTCTGAAAAAATAATGTTTTTTTTGTTTGCTTGTTTGCAAAAGTGGTGTTGTTTCAGTAACCTTTTGTACAAATGTCTCTATTTCAAATTCGGTACAATTATGGGTTGCCCACATATTTTGTTTGGTTGTTTAAAAGTTATATAAATTATCCTTATATGTTACCGATTCCACCTTTATCTTATATAACAACTTATAAAAATTTCCTTTAAACCATTTTTTTTAAAAATAATTCTCATATGATCAATATCTTTATAGAAATTATTCATTTAATGTTACACTTTTAACCCTATATTTTGTATAATATGTTGTAAATATATCATTGGTATTTTTAATTTCTATTTTATAACTCTTAAAATTTCACATATAATCTTCTTTGTTTTAAATACATGTTCTATATATTGTTTTGAATATTTAATATTATCATAATTATGTAATGCAAGAAGTAAATACATAATTTACATCACGTTGATAATATTCAGAAATTACAACCGTTTAGAACTAAATTCAAAAATTACAATACCAATTAAACATGAAATTACAAGATCAATAAACATAAAATAACATCAGTAAAAATAAGTATGCTATAATGTTAGATCTTATTGTTTATTGTTTATGTGTTTGATTGTTGTTTGTTTATGCTTACAAATTTGTATGAAAACCTAATTTGATATGTTTTTATTGATTTTGTTTGAGTATGATTCTTTTTATTACAACAATTTTACAATATATTGATTCATTTAAAATTTCAAATGATCGGTTTGGTATTTAAAAATAAATTTATATCTAAAATAACAAAAAATTACAAAAATTTTCAATATACTTATTCGTTTTAAATTTATATCTAAAAATTTACAGTTGCTTAATATAAATACTTTGACCAGTAAAATAACAAAAGTTATTCATATTATATATTAAATATAATTTGCAAATGTAACAAACAAACAATGACATACATTAACTTTTAAAAATAAAACGATCTAATCAAACTTAACCTAACAGATAAATTAGGCGGCTCGCATACATTATTAAAAAAATAATCAAATGATAATTTCCTGGCATAAGAACATACAACAGATTAATGAGTGGGTTACAGTTTATTTGTAGGTAAAATCTAGAACTCGATTAAAAATATAAATTTAGATTTTTATGATATATTTAATGCTATATATTAATTCGAATATATATTTTTGGCATAAGTAATATGATTACTTATATTTTAATATTTAATATGTAATAATTAAAACATTTTTTGAGAAATAGTAAAAAGATTTGAATAGATATTGATATGTAAGTGATTGGATGTGAGGTTTTGTTTCAAAAAGAAAAAGTAATACCATGAACATTAAAGATGCTTTTAATATTTTAATGATATTTGCTTTAGTTTTATTTATAACATAAGAAATATAAATAAAAAGAAAAAAACTCTACAAGAAAAATGACTTACTGTCACACCAAAAAAAGGTGACAATATGTGTATAGTGACATTTTATTTTTTCACTGAAAGTGTGACGGAATGTGACACCATCGTATGGGTCTTATGGTCACTTTAAAATGTAGTGTCTGTATGGTATGAAAACATGTGGCCGTATTATAAAAGTGTGGCAAATGTGTACGGAATTTCGATCCTTAAATATCCACTATTGTAGCGTTAAACAGTTAGTAGTCACATATATTTAGTTAATGTGGTGATTGTATATCACCAAACTGCGACATTCATAATGTTTTAGTGTAGTTGTTTTCTTACATATAGTCACACAGTTTAAATTTTATTAATACTATTGTGTATCTTTTGTAAACTTGTAATTATGGTGAGTGTAACCATGTTTGCTAAATGGCCACAAGTAGTTTACTTCCATAAGTGACGAATTGCTAATTATTAGTCACAAAAAACAATCAATGTTTGTGACTATAACCTACCGTATAGACACACACAATTAAATGAAATACAATCATAAGTAGTATAAAGACACACATTTTGTTAAAATTAAGGATAATTTGGTATCGTATTAAGATTATTGGGTATATTTTAGACACACATAATTTACGGTGAACATGTCCATGTTCGGTAAATGGACACATATTATTAATGATATAAGTGACGATTTACTAGTATTTAGTCTCAACAACAATCAATTATAGTATTTATTTGCCACATCAATTGTTTTTTATGTTGTTATTGTTTAACTTAGTGACAAAAACTTTATAATAAACATCACTTTAAATAAATTGTAGTCTCATAATTCTTGTATATTATGGCTATTGTTAACCATTTAGCTACATATTACAAATTGAGTTGAAATAACCATTGTATATTTTTAGAGACATTAAAAACCTATAAAACATGGCAAAAATCATACTACAACCACTTTTATTTACTATTTATTGTTACTTTTATTTTCAACATTGTAGACACATCAAAATAATTTAAATGAAACTAACCAAACCCAACAATACGAAACAAAAGAAAAATTTATAATTTGATATTAGTAATAATTGGTACCTATAACAACAACATTGAAACAAAAAAAATGAGTTCATAAGGGCATCATTTTCTGCCAGTCTAGACTTTCCTTCCAAACTTCCAACTTCAATGTCAAATTCCCGATCTGTCATATGAAAATTGTAGCTAATACAGGTTAAATATACAATAGCAATGTACTTAAATTTCTTTAAATACAATAGGAATGTACTTTTATTTTTACTAATAATAATATAAAAATGTAACTTGCACATATTTTACAAGTTCCATGTTACAGATTGCTATTATTAGTGATAAAGTGTAAGTGTGTCTTTCTATAAATAAATAAGATTACATTTATTTCAACAAGTTGTTTTTTCATAATGACTTCATCTCCTCAAATTCTTTTGGCATATATATATATATATATATATATATATATATATATATATATATATATATATATATATATATATATATATATATATATATATATATATATATATATATGTATATATCGGATGAGATAGCTAGAGGGAAAACTGCAAATGCAATATCATGTTACATGCACGAGAACACCCCTACTAAAAAATTTATTCAATTTTTTCATTTTGTACGAGATCCCTCCAAATTTCGTTCAAAATTTACATGTTTCTCAAAAATTTCATTCAATCTTCCCTTTTTTATATAACGTTGGAGATGCAACATCTTCTCATAATTATATATCTCTCGATTTCAAGCATGAAAACTCATGTGAGTATGTTCATTATTTATCTTCTTTTCATTAATGGCATATGAGACTTCATTTTTCTCTTATTAATTGTAAATAGATGTCCTATTTTAAGTTCTAACGATATTTTTTTGTTCTAAATCTCTATAAATGCTTCTTCTTCTATGATATATTTCCAACAAAAGATGCAAAGACTTGTGATGTTGCTTCAGTGACTTTCAATCAATGGGCATTTAACTAGTTTTTGCAGAGTGAGTTTTAAGATATTGTCGAAAAAGAAATTGAAATCAACGTTGATGAAATTTGATTTCCCAAGAACAAATTTTTAATTGGTAGAGAAAAAGAAATTGCAAAGATTGAAACCACTCTTTTTGGAGAAACTAAAATCAAAGAATGAACAATTGAAACCTCTAATGGACCTGCAGTTGAGGAAATCAAAGTTGACAGCTCTAGTGCGCCAACCCTGCTTGACGCTCTCTGGTCAGCCTTGCATGACGCTCCTTTGCCATCCTTGCCTGGAGCTCCTTACCTGGCATTCCCGTCGGCCTTGTCTGGTGCGCGCCCCGCCTTTCCCAAAACTTTTGGGCGGCCTTGCCCAACTCCTTGCTAGTTGGACCTGAATTGGGTAGCCCCAAGGCCTAACCTAATTCCCCTTGACCTAATTGTAACACCGTAAATTTTCAAACAAAATTCTCATCTTAAAATCACATAATTCTAATTAACATATTTCACAAAAATCCCAAAGTATCAAATTATTAAAAATACATATACATTATAAAAATCCAGGATCCTCAAATATAACTCCATCTCATGTGTATATTCATGCCGACGCCTTCCCACGATTCTGAGAAATACCTCAAACACATATCACATAACACGGTAAGCACAAAGCTTAGTAAGTTCTCCAAAATACCACACATAACTCATTAGCCTCTCATGGCTATACTCAAATAAGACCCTCCAATCAATGTGTCTCAGTGGAACTCTTTGGTCCCACAATGTGAGTGGACCCTTCGATCCTAACTCAATAAGCTCAGAATAATACACAACATAAACCATAAATATATAATGCAGGATATCACAATACTCAATATAAACACATAAGACCCTCCGGTCACACAAAGATTACCACTCTAGGTAAGTATAGTGAGAAGACTCACACAGGATGATGAATAGCTCCTATAGATGTTGTTGTTGCACACCAGCCTCTAACGTTGAACCAAAACCCACAATTACCCAATTAAGATATAAGACCAAACCTCACTCATTAGGTCTAAAGGTAGCTCACTACCCGACCCACAATTAACACAATCTTATTGGGCCCACCAAGGCCCAATACTAAATGGGCTCTCTTAAGGCCCAACTCTTAAACTTAATTCCAAATGGCAAGTCCAACACAAAGGACCAAGACATATACAATATTTCTCTGATCAAAATCTCCAGTACAACAAGCCCAAAATCTAGGCCCAACACTTAAGGCCCAATGAGAGTTTTAGCCCAAAAAGCCCACCGTAAGGTTACGCGGGCGGCGTACGCACGAATCTAAATCAGGCCATCGGGGACACTTGATCAGTACGCAGGGTGTACTGGATTTACGCTCGGCGTATGTCTAGACTTTCTTTTTCCCACTCTCTTGGTTTTAACCCGTTAAGACTATAGCTATACTCTCAGATTTGGACTCCCTAAAGGCTCATACTCCATAAAGTTCATAACTTTAAGCCTTTGCATAGATGATAAAGTCCCAAACCCAAATACACTAACTCTTTCCTCCAAAAAATGCTCATATCTCAAGCATGGGGTGGCTTTGACGTCCAAGACCTCATTTTTATGAATCCTCTCCACTAGAAACACTTAAGGACATATATTAGGCTCTGGAGTTCTGATAGCTTCTTTTATTTCCTTATTTTTATTAGTTTATTTTAGATTTTTAGATCTTTTTATCATTAACTCAATGTATTTTATTTATTTTTCTTTAGTATGGATCGTACCGTGTGCTTTTTATGTAGCATGAGGAATTTTGCAGGGTTTTGGAGCTTGTTGCGGTTGCGGGTTGATTAGAGACGGGCTTAGTGGGCT